GGTGGGTGGTGGCAGGTGGCGTGGTGCAGGTGTGGTGGTGGTGGTGGTGGTAGTGGAGAAAAAAAAACCACGGCACCAAAACAATCAACAATATCGACCTCATTAGACACGTTCCAGTAAGACTCATTCTTTATATACCGCATGAGTTAACATCTATGACGAGCTGTAACCAATAGTACCGTCACCACTCACCTCCCTCAGCCCTAGTAAGGAGGAACCTCGTATCTTTCCTGTAATCAATATTCCACCACCTTTACCTGTGTCTACCTGATCTCATTTATACCTGAACTATGTAATATACTCTTATGTTACTCCTCAGTCCTCACCACACACACACACACACACACTGTTTCCTCTGTACTATAACCTTTAACATTTATAAATATCAAGTTTCAAATACCTTCAATCTTTCATAACTGTTCGCTCTGGTGAATAGATCTGAGAACAGCATTTGTCTCTGTTATTTATCTAATCCAATAATCCTTCACCATCTGAAGTATATACCATCCAACTTGTGTTCTTTCAATTTGTTTCATTAATCAGAATTTACATTAACCTTCACATAATAATATCACAAATACATTATAGTAAACTGTATATAATTGTTTTCTCTTTATGTTATATACGTCCAGATATTCCTCGTAACAACTAGGTAATTATAGGTGAAATTATACACCTCTCGTACAGCCAGATTCATTTTCTCCCAGAATCTAAAGGTTATTAGTTTTCTCCCAATATACTTGTTTCTTTTATCTTCATCTAACCTTTGACCTTTCACATTACTTCACTCATCACACGAAGTTATTATCTCTAGGAACTTCATCGCCACAATCTCTGTTCCTGATGAAATAAGTTGATGCTCTTATAAAACTCTAGATTATTTACCATATTTTAAACACATTGACGACCTCCCAGTGATGACAGACTCGTGAAGATAGACTCGTGAAGATAGACTCGTGAAGACAGACTCGTGAAGACAGACTCGTAAAGACAGACTCGTGAAGACAGACTCGTAAAGACAGACTCGTGAAGACAGACTCGTGAAGATAGACTCGTGAAGACAGACTCGTGAAGACAGACTCGTGAAGACAGACTCGTGAAGACAGACTCGTGAAGATAGACTCGTAAAGACAGACTCGTGAAGACAGACTCGAAGACAGACTAAAGACAGACTCGTGAAGACAGACAGACTCGTGAAGACAGACTCGTGAAGATAGACTCGTGAAGACAGACTCGTGAAGACAGACTCGTGAAGACAGACTCGTGAAGACAGACTCGTGAAGATAGACTCGTGAAGACAGACTCGTGAAGACAGACTCGTGAAGACAGACTCGTAAAGACAGACTCGTAAAGACAGACTCGTGAAGACAGACTCGTGAAGATAGAGTAAAGGTGATGGAGTTTCCCCTTAATAACCACCACGGTCATTAGTCTTATCTAGAAACAATGTCATTTATTTGTTATGAGATTTAATGGATCCTCGTCACTGCCAACTCGTTCTTAAGAGTCACAGGTACTAATTTTTATCATCCCGTTAGTTATATATATAGTTATTATCATTTATGTTGAGAGTTTCTCTTCTGAGTTTTTATCAACATTCTCTATCTCTTGTTCTCCTCTGATGACTAAATATACACGTATTTATCGTATTTATCTAGCTTTTATTATTTTTTTTATATTATTACTAGTTGTGTTTACGTGTGGTTTTGTGTTCTTTTACTTTTTTTAGTGTGACAGAAGTAAAAATATGTATAATCAAGCTATTGTAATTATCTACCTTATCTTTAACATCGAAATAATTCATAAATTTTTTCATCAGTTATTTAAGTTTTTTTTTGTATATATAGCCACGGTTCTTATCCTCTCCAAGATGCGAGAGTTCACCGACACACACACACACACACACACACACACACACACACACACACACACACACACACACACACACACACACACACACACACACACACACACACACACACACACACACACACACACACACACACACACACACCCCTTTGTTGCGTCTCTTCCACTCAGATGCGAAAGTGTTAAGTTGAATTTGAGATTTTATTTCCGTTTGGTGACACCTACTGCTGGTGGTGGTGGTGTGGTGGTGAGAATGGTAATGATGATGATGAGTAAGTGTGTAGTGATGAGTGGGGATGGTGGTGTGGTGTGGTGGTGGTGGGGGATGGTGGTGGTGTGGTGGTGGTGTGGTGGTGGTGGTGGTGTGGTTTAACTCTTGTTCCTGGATCACCCCTAAATGACTGAAGGATTTTGAGTTTATTTGGACGGTTCGAACTCTGTCTATCTATCTATCTAGCTATCTTTCTCTCTCTGTTTGCTTATATATATATATATATATATATATATATATATATATATATATATATATATATATATATATATATATATATATATATATATATATATATATATCTCTCTCTCTCTCTCTCTCTATCTCTCTCTCTCTCTCTCTTTGGGGGTCCAGTTCATTATCATCTGACAATTCATATCTAAGCTTTTCGTAACCATACTGTTATCATCATAATCGTCATCATCACTGTCCAGACCATCATCATCATCATCATCATCATCATCATCCACCATATAATTCTTATGTCTAATTATTATGTCTTATCTTAACCTTATCCTCGCCCATATCATCATCACACCATTGTCATCCACGACCATTTTTATCTTGTATTACCCACACCATCATCATCATCACCACCCACATCCATGTTTTAACTCGTATCACCCATCATCATCATCGTCATCATCCACACCCATGTTTTTAACTCGTATCACCCATCGTCATCATCATCATCATCATCATTATTATCATATTCATCTTCATCACCATCATCTTCATCACCATCGTCATCAACACCCAAATCTGTCGTTAACTCGCGTCACCACAAACCCCGTCTAAGTGGCTCCTTCCCTTGTAGTCATCAGCCAAATTTTCAGCTTAATTTCGCGGTTAACAGAGAACGCCATCATTACCACCTCGACTGTGAAAACAAGAAATTGGATTTATTCGCAACATCCGGCTGCTAAGACACCCCGAGTCGCCATCAAGGAAGTCTACAGCTGGGGGAACATCCATTCCCGAGTGTGAACAAAAAGGTATAAAATTCCATCCCCATGATAGGCAAAAAGGTATAAAATTCCATCGCCATGATAGGCAAAAAGGGAAAATATCCAGCCCCCACAGCCCCCAACCGTGGACAAAAACCCCGAGTGTCATTTCTCGCTCGAAATTTGATAAACAGGAGGGGTACTTGAGGCAATTTGCTGGGTCCCGCGATGATTGTGTTTATCGTAATAAGTTGCATTGTCCTGGTTACACGTCTGTGGGTGTCTTGCTGGGGGGAAAAAAGTGGTAAGATTATGATAAGAGACATGGTGACGGCTGACATACTCGACCCGGGGAACGGAAATGCTGACTTATGCCTCCAAGCTGACACACATGTGATAGGAGACAGATGGTGTGACATAAGGACTGACACACACACACACACACACACACACACACACACACACACACACACACACACACACACACACACACACACACACACACACACACACACACACACAGTCTCCAAAACTGGGCCACCAACAACCATGTCACCATCAACCATACCAAGACCATGGTTATGCACATCAACCTCTCCTCCGACATTGTCCCACCTCCTTCCATTACTCTAGGTCCGAACACACTCCAGGTTGTAGATTCCACGAAGCTCCTCGGCGTCACCATAGACAACAAACTAAATTGGAAACCACACGTCAGTGAAGTTGTCAAATCCTCCAGTTTCCGTCTCCACCTCCTCCGCCGACTCAAGTCCCTCGGAGTTCCCGCACACGAGCTCCTCAGTGTATACACAACATTCATACTTCCCAAGCTCACCTATGCCTCCCCCACCTGGTCTTCCTCCCTAAATGCCACACAACGTAAACACCTAGAAAAAGTGCAAAAGAGGGCATGCAAGATTATTCTCTCCCCTTCCTACTCCACATATCAAGAAGCGCTCAACACACTGACCCTTTCGACTCTCACTGACCATCACCACGGCCTCATCTGCAAATTTGGTAAGAAGCTTCTACACCATCCCCGACACCGGCCCCTACTACCACCCGAGATCCCCTGTCCGAGAATTGCTGTTCGACACCACAACCGCATCCAGCCCATACGTGCACGAACTGATCGCTATAAGAACAGCCCAGTCCCAACCATTGTAAAAATTATCAATAACATGTAATAAATCAGTGTATTCACTCCCAGTAAACACTGCTCCCTACACTGTCACTATGTTGAAATGAACTGTAGTTTGAGCTGATCCCCATCTAAGTTATTATATGTCTTATTTATGTCACTTATGTCACTTGCATATTATTTGTAACTCGTAACCCATTCCCCAAATATGTAACTGTATATTTTCAGCCTTCTGGCTGCCAAGCTCTTTCAATAAACCGTTAATTATTATTATTATGTCCTAGGAGATAAATAAGTGACTTAGGGCTGACACGTGTGTTTAAAGATGGATGAGGTAACTTAAAGCTGACACATGTATTGGGAGTGACTTAATGCTGACAGAAATATATTAGGAGATGGAAAGAAGGACAGAGCTGACACACAACAATCGTAAAATGGTCATGCACTAAACAGTAATCAAAGTGAACTTCAACTGTATTTTGCTGTCGTAATGGGCAGCTCAATATTTTTTTTTTAAAGCCTGTTTATATCTTCAGCTCAACAAGTTTAGTGGGTGTACAAGGATGAATCTGTCTATTTGTCCGTCATTATGTCTGTCTGTCTGTCTGTCTGTTTACTCATCACACTGCGATATTAAGATGAAACTCATTATGTTTCTGCGTCATCGTAAGAGGATGGTTTGCCTCTACCAGTATGGCACCATGATCTCCTTCTTTCAATAAGGCACAATGATTTCTGTCTACTCGTAAAGCACCATAATCTCTTCTACCAGTATGGCACCATGGTTTCCCTCTACCAGTATGGTACCATGATCTCCCTCTATCAGTATGGCACCACGATCTCCCTCTACCAGTATGGCACCATGGTTTCCCTCTACCAGTATGGTACCATGGTTTCCCTCTACCAGTATGGTACCATGATCTCCCTCTATCAGTATGGCACCACTATCTCCCTCTACCAGTATGGCACCATGGTTTCCCTCTACCAGTATGGCACCATGGTTTCCCTCTACCAGTATGGTACCATGATCTCCCTCTATCAGTATGGCACCATAATTTCCCTCTACCAGTGTGGCACCATGATCTCCCTCTACTAGTATGGCACCATGATATCCCTCTACCAGTATGGCACCATGATATCCCTCTACCAGTATGGCACCATGCATTCCCCACGTATGTGGCACCATGATCTCCTCTCCACGAGTATGGCACCATGATCTCTCTTTTACAAGTATGGCACCATAATTTCTCTACCAGTATGGCACCATGATCTCCTTCTTTTCAATAAGGCACCATGATTTCTGTCGACTCGTAAAAGCACCATAATCTCTTCTACCAGTATGGCACCATGGTTTCTACCAGTATGGTACCATGATCTCCCCATCAGTATGGCACCACGATCTCCTCTACCAGTATGGCACCATGGTTTCCTCTACCAGTATGGTACCATGATCTCCTCTATCGCATGGCACCATGATCTCCCCTACCAGTATGGCACCATGGTTTCTTACCAGTATGGTACCATGATCTCCCTCCACGAGTATGGCAATCATGATCTCCTCTACCAGTATGGCACCATGATATCCTCTACCAGTATGGCACCGTGATCTTCTCTATCAGTATGGCACCATAATTTCCTCTACCAGTGTGGCACCATGATCTCCCTCTACCAGTATGGTACTACATCTCCCTATCAGTATGGCACCATGGTTTCTCTACCAGTATGGTACCATGATCTCCCCTTATCAGTATGGCACCATGATCTCCTCTACCAGTATGGCACCATGGTTTCTACCAGTATGGTACCATGATCTCTATCAGTATGGCACCATGATCTCCTTCAAGTATGGCACCATACTCTACCAGTATGGCACCATGATCTCCTCTATCAGTATGGCACCATAATTTCCCTCTTCTACCAGTGTGGCACCATGATCTCCCTCTACCAGTATGGTACCATGATCTCTCATCAGTATGGCACCATGATCTCTACCAGTATGGCACCATGATATCCTCTACCAGTATGGCACCATGATTCCCCTCTACCAGTATGGCACCATGATCTCCCTCTACCAGTATGGCACCATGATCTCCCTCTACCAGTATGGCACCATGATCTCCCTCTACCAGTGTGGCACCATGATCTACCTCTATCACTATGGCACCATGGTTTCTCTTTACCGGTATGGCACCATGATCTCCCTTTACTAGCATGGTACTATAATTTCCCTCTACCAGTATGGCACCATGATATCCCTCTACCAGTGTGGAACTATGATCTACCTCTATCACTATGGCACCATAGTTTCTCTTTACCAGTATGGCACCATGATCTCCCTCTACCAGTATGGCACCCTAATATTCTATCATCAGGCTGTCGAGAGTAGTTCCAGCCACAATGTCTCCCCATATACAAAAATACCTTAACCCAACAGTATACTATATCCAACTTGCACCTAAGACCTCATGGGACCCATCAACTCAACCCTTCACATCAACTCTCCTGTCATCAAAACCTAACCATAGTTCCCGTCTTCCGCCAGTAAATAGTTTACTTAAAGGCAATAAAACATTCCTTTCCTTATACTTCCATTAAACACATCCATTACCATCGACCTTTTAGTCTTTCCCAGCGTCGAGAGAACAGTGGGGTGACGTCAACGAGGCGGTGTTCCGTAAGGGGTGTGCTTACTGTCATATACAGTTGAGTTATGACGAAGTTAGACAGATCGTTGTAGTATATAACATAAGCTAGAGAATTTAATTATGTCTGTCTGTGGGGATTAGGTATGATGTATGTATAAGTAATTAGGCCTTGGGCATGTGTATAAAAAGGTAATGTGTGTAAGGGTGGTACATGTTGTGGATTCGTTGTATAGTGTGTACGTGTTCTTAGTGTACATGAATTTGGCCTTAAATGTATGTACGTAACTTGGGCGTCTACGTCTCATAATGTGTATATGCGAATCTTGAGTACCCAGATGTAGGGTATCTAAGTGTGTACGTGTCCCAGAAGTGTACGTGTCCCAGTAGAGTACGTGTCCCAGGAGAGTACGTGTCCCAGGAGAGTACGTGTCCCAGGAGAGTACGTGTCCCAGGAGAGTACGTGTCCCAGGAGAGTACGTGTCCCAAGAGAGTACGTGTCCCAGGTGAGTACGTGTCCCAAGAGAGTACGTGTCCGTGCCGAGGTTCTGGGGTAGGGTAGGTGGTGTAGCGTGCCTCCGTGTCGGCCCCATCACCCTGGTAACAAGATGTGTAGCACCACCAAGCTAAATTGCCCCTCTTGGAAATTACATCATAGTAGAGTGGTAATTTGTTCGTTAAAGCGTGAGTTATGTTTAGCTCTTGTGACCCTTAGTTGTTGCCCCTCCCACCAGTCCCATCACTGTTGGTCCCACCGGCCCCACCAGTCCCATCACTGTTGGTCCCACCGGCCCCACCAGTCCCATCACTGTTGGTCCCACCGGCCCCTTCCCACCAGTCCCATCACTACAGTTGGTCCCACCGGCCCCGCCAGTCCCATCACTGTTGGTCCCACTGGCCCTGCCAGTCCCATCATTGCTGGTCCCACCGGCCCCACCAACCTATCACTGTTGGTCCCACCGGCCCCGCCAGTCCCATCACTGCTGGGTCCCACCGGCCCCGCCAGTCCCATCACTGTTGGTCCTACCGGCCCCGCCAGTCCCATCACTGTTGGTCCCACCGGCCCCAGTCCTCATCACTGTGTTGTCCCACCCGGCCCCGCCAGTCCCATCACTGTTGCTCCCACCGGCCCCGCCAGTCCCATCACTGCTGGTCCCACTGGCCCTGCCAGTTCCATCACTGCTGGTCCCACCGGCCCCTGCCAGTCCCATCACCAGTTGGTCCCACCGGGCCCTCGCCAGTCCCATCACTGCTGGTCCCACCGGCCCCGCCAGTCCTATCACTGTTGGTCCCACCGGCCCCACCAGTCCCATCACTGTTGGTCCCACCGGCCCCACCAGTCCCATCACTGTTGGTCCCACCGGCCCCACCAGTCCCATCACTGTTGCTCCCACCGGCCCCGCCAGTCCCATCACTGTTGCTCCCATCACTGGCTTATCCCATCACTCTGACTCGTCCCACCATTTCGGATAGTCCCGTCACTAATTAGTAAACATATGCATCCTGTCCATAAGGTCATTCATTAATGCACCTCTAGCTCACCCAGCTGGGAATGGGTACCTAACATTACAGAGTGGGAAGTGAAAGTAGTGACCCTTATGTCATAAAGGTCCTGAATAACAACAAAATCTTTAAGTGTTATAAAGAACAAGACCAATCCGCTGCCACTACTCAATAAATATCCAGGTGATGTCAAGATATATAATTAACCAGACAGTGTTATTAGGACAGGTAAACATAACAAAACATTTACCTGCTGAGAATAAATTTAAACCAAAACTTACTACTGTGAGGTAAGTAAAGTACCTTAGACCCTTTAGGTGTTTTAAACCTTTAGAGGAAGATTAAGATATAAAAGTTATCTATCACAGAGAGAACAAAGTAAGACACTATCTACCGCCTCTCGACAGATTGGTGGATATTTGATTGATGTTTATAAAAAACTACGACGGGGTAAGAGATGGTACCATTGATCATGTCTTAGTGCCACAGACCGATCATGTTTACCACCTGAGTCGTGACGTCAAAACCCATTCACATTAATGGGCGGTGGAGAGATGATCACAAAGGTTCGACTTACCTGGCCTCACACCCTACCTGGCCTCACACCCTACCTGGCCAATTGCTCCATATTCTCACATAATAGTAAATATACATATACATTTACCAGCAGTCAGTTATATGTATACTTGGTTGTCTTGTCACTCTCTTGATTCTGTTGTTTCGTTATTAAAGATTATACATAGTGTGTTATAACTTCTTGTTGTTTATATATTAATAAGCTCATTTTCAATAATAAACTTCGAAATTTTTAGGAGACTTGGTGTTCAGACTGACAGCATGTGAGCTAAACTACACCATTAGAGCTATACCTTAAAAGTTGAGCTGTAACTTGATAGGATAGTATATACATCTACAGAAGCTAAGCTACACCTTGAGAGTTACACCAGACCTTAAGTGTAATCCTCACAAGTTACACCTCAAAAGCTAATCTACACTAAAACTGCTACACCTAGATAGTACAGTTCCACCCCTCAAGTGCCACACCTAGATAATACAGTTCCACCCCTCAAGTGCTACACCTAGATAGTACAGTTCCACCCCTCAAGTGCTACACCTAGATAATACAGTTCCACCCCTCAAGTGCTACACCTACATAGTACAGTTCCACCCCTCAAGTGCTACACCTAGATAGTACAGTTCCACCCCTCAAGTGCTACACCTAGATAGTACAGTTCCACCCCTCAAGTGCTACACCTAGATAATACAGTTCCACCCCTCAAGTGCTACACCTAGATAGTACAGTTCCACCCCTCAAGTGCTACACCTAGATAGTACAGTTCCACCCCTCAAGTGCTACACCTCTGGGAGTGACACCGGTACCATTAAAAAGGTCATGGTAAAAGGCGGATCTCCGACGTTGCTCGAGGCCAAGGGAGTAATGACGGGCCATTGTGGGGTGATAATTGTCAGGCGATTGGTAGGAAACACCGAACCTTTATCATAACTTGTGAGGATCAGCCGCAACACCACCGCTGAATTGTTATGAGTTAGCAGAGAGGAGTTCCTGTTGTTTATAACTGATTATCATGAGTTAGCAGATAATTCCTTCTTTTCATAGTTTTAGCTTTTTCGATAATTTGTTTTTTCATGTTATTTCTTTAGCTCTCTATTTTAGCTTTGGTTTCCACATCTCTTTCTTTCATTATGGCTTCTTTATTTCTTCTTTTCTTTGTCTTTTCTTAAACCTTCCGGAATAGACCTATGGAACCTCGCAATAGTAGCCAGACACCCCACAAAACACTCCAGTCACTGTACCAGGTATAAATGCAAGCGACTGTACATTAAGTTTACAGTAGACTAGCCATGGTATACAATAGACTAGCCATGGTATACAGTAGGCTAGCTATGGTATACAGTAGGCTAGCTATGGTATACAGTAGGCTAGCCATGGTATACACTAGTAAACTATTTTGCACTTATTAATTATTTTCATAAGTAAATAAATTAACGATATATCTTGAACTAAAAATTTAATGAGTCCAGTTGATTGATTTATTGTACAGTATGTGAAATAAAATAAATAGAAAATAAATAAAAATAACAAAACTATTGGGAATTTTATGTAGAGGAGTATTTAGTTTTAGTTAAATTTACGGGTAGAATTTTAACTAGTCTATCTGGCTAGGAAATAGCAAAAAGGTACTATTCCAGGCGAAAATAATTTAGTAGCCAAGACGACAATTCCCTAGTCCAGACGACAATACACTAGCCCAGAAGATTATTTACTAGCCCAGACGACAATTTACTAGCCCAGGCGACAATTTACTAGCCCAGGCGACAATTTACTAGCCCATATGACAACTTACTAACCTAGACAACAATATACTAGCCGAGGCGACAATATATTAATAACGAGTGATCGATCTAGCATAAATTTTTCACACCCTGACAAATACCCAAAAAGAAACAAACACCCCACCAGACGTCATTCTAACATACTTGCATGAATTATTATGATCACACACACACAGTTCATATACTATTTATCTTTTACGTCTGTTTGTGGTGAATGTTAATTGAAGCAATATTTTACTTTACATAATTTAAAACATATGACTTCTTCGCCCGGATATGCATGTATGTACGTGTGTGTGTGTGTGTGTGTGTGTGTGCGTGTGTGTGTGTGTGTGTGGTGATGGCAAGACAAGATATAATAGGACTTTTATTTACCTTTGCATTCATATCGTAATTAGTTCCTTAATTTACATATCACAACACCTGATTTTCATTTCCTGTTCTAGTTTAATCGTGAGGTAATAGTGAGGTAATAGTGAGTTAATAGTGAGGTAATAGTGAGGTAATAGTGAGGTAATAGAAGTTAATAGTGAGGTAAAAGTGAGGTGATAGTGAGGTAATAGTGAGTTAATAGTGAGGTAATAGAAGCTAATATTGAGGTAATAGAAGCTAATAGTGAGGTAATAGTGAGGTTATAGTGAGGTAATAGTGTTGGCTGATAGAGGGACAGAGTGTTTACCCCCTTAAGACAGCTCATCGCGGCTTGCTTATGTGGTTGTGTTGGCTTCTTTAGAGAGAGAGAGAGAGAGAGAGAGAGAGAGAGAGAGAGAGAGAGAGAGAGAGAGATAATCTAAAATACATTTGACTTTGTTATATCATTGTCATCATCTTTATTATTATTCTCATGTTCACTTCCTTGTCATTACCAGCCTTCTGATTTACCGCAGATGTTGTTGTTACTGTGAATCTCAATTATCTCTCTCTCTCTCTCTCTCACTCTATCTCTCTTTTTCTTTCTCTTCTTTCTCTCTCACCTCCACCACTGTAATTAACCCATTTTGTAGTCTCTCTCTCTCTCTCACACAAGGTAGGCAGATTAAAAAGAGTCAAGTTGTTGTTTTTTTACCAAATTAATACAAAGGAAAGTATTTTATAACCTCGTGTATGGTGATGGTATATTATAGGACCCTTTATGTATATTGTATAAGTTTATTGTATTAGTGTGATGGAAAATACACTAGAATTTGTTGTATTAGTGTGATGGAAAATACACTAGAATTTGTTGTATTAGTGTGATGGAAAATACACTAGAATTTGTTGTATTAGTGTGATGGAAAATACACTAGAATTTAATGTGTTAGTATGATGAAAAATACGCTTTGATTTTTTAATCTAAATGACCAAAAGCAACAGATTTTAGTCTATAAATATGACTACAAAAAATAAATGACCTTTTTTTTAATAAGTATGAGAAAAAAACACCAGACTATTATTACAAGTATGACAAACAAAACACACACTACAATTGATTCTCCATGAAAAAAAAACCTCTTAGGGTTAATTGAATCGGTATAATAAAAAAAAATCATCCAATAAGTATGAAGAAAAAAATTCACTCAGTATGACCAAAAAAAAAAATAATCCCACCAGTTTATTCAATTATCACGGTAAAAAAAAAGAAGAGTTTATTGAATCAGTACAACAAATGAGAGAAGAAAAAAAAAAGTCCCCCCAAGTTTACTACACCAGTACACCAAGCGATATAATAGACGCCACTAATCGAATCTGCCACCAATAAAACAAACAACAAAAGCGGGATAAAATAGCGGCCACAAAAGCCCCTCGGAAACCAATTAATAGAGGCCACAATGGATCAGCTCCAAGGTTGTCTCTCTCCTGGACGGCCGCCGCTTGCCAGTATAATTGACTCGGATTGAGGAAATGAGGCCTTTGGGATGCTCTGTTGTTAGCACCTTGTTAGTGGGCCCGGGGTAGTGGTTGTTGCTGGTGAGAGGGAGAGTGTGTGGGGTGGAAGGGTGGTGGTGGTGGGAAGGGTAAAGGCATAAGGGTAGGGGGAGAGTAGTGGGGGGGGTATTGGTGGTGGGGGTGGTTACGGTGGAAGGGTGTGGTGGTGGTGGGAAGGGTAAGGGAGAAGAGGGGAAGGGTAAGGGCACAAGGGTAGGGGAGAGTAGTGACAAGATTATGGTGGGGTGGTTATGGTGGAGGTAGTACTATTAGTGGTTGTGGGATAGGTAGTGGTAGGAGGAGGGTGGTGGGTAGTAATGGTGATGGTAGTGATAATGAAACCAGTATTTAGGGGCAGCGGTCTTGATGATGTAAGGGAGTCATGTTTAGGATAATTATAGAGCCGGTGGTAGGTGGTGGTGGTGGTGGTGGGCAGTGGTAGACGGTGGTGTGGTGGGTGGTGGTGGTGGTGGTGGTGGTGGTGACGGTGGTGGGTGGTGGTGGTGGTGGTGGTGGTGGTGTGGTGGTGGTGGTGACGGTGGTACTTGGTGGTGGTGGTGGTGGTGGTGGTGGTGGTGACGTGGTAGTGGGTGGTGGTGGTGGTGGTGACGGTAGGTGGTGGTGACGGTGGTGTGGTGGTGACGGTGGTGGTGGTGGCGGTTTGCAGGTGGTGGTGACGGTGGTGGTGGTGGTGACGGTGGTGGTGGTGG